TAGCTGATGCGGCATCTATGGGATGAGTACAAGTAATAATTCCCTAAGACAACTAGTGTTGCAAGTGCACAACATATAATTGTAGTATTTAGGGGTCGAACCACAAGGGATTGGATTTCACACATTACATAATCATAGAGTTTAAATGACTAAGCTAAATCAAAAGATGCAAGGGTTTGTGTTTGTTTAGAACACGCAAAAGAAAATAACAATGCAATTCTATACAAGCAACATTATTGAACTATTGAAAACTCTTTTGAAAACATGAGCCAAGTCGATTGAAAAGTTTGTTAAAATCCGATTCTTTTGAACTCAAAACACTAAGGAAGGATTATTCCACTTTCGTGGTTCCAATCCCCTATGTCTCTTAAACCAATGGGCTCAGCTTTCGTTGGTCATTGTAGAGTGAGACATGCATTACATCCAAGTAATGATTGTTCACAAAACTCTTTAGGTCTACTTTCGTAGCCTAAAACGATTTGCCCATCAAATATATCCGGAGATATAACAAGCTTTTGGAGAGTATATCAACCTAAAATCAAGTCACTAGTTAGCTACTCTAGCAACAGGCATTAAGCATAAATAAAGATGGAGAACCATAGGGTTTCCCCTTTTAACAATCGATTTTCGATGGCCATTATATCACGTCCTCATTGGAAGGATCCATAATTCAACAATGAGTCTTAGATAGTAGATGAAGTCTCATGAATCCTTAGAGAGAGAGGCGGCGGAATATAGACTAAACCACGCCTCACCCTTAGGGAGAAATCTCTACTTCTAGACTATATAAATTGAAACATGCAAGCTATATACAAATGCAAAAGAAGAAAAGAAAGAAGAAGGAGACCACCTAAGTGGCTCCGAACTTTATTGAATAATGTTTCTTGTTATGCGGCTGGTGATTCTTATTACAAGAGGCTAAAAGCAAGTATATATAGGTAGAGAGCGGGTCTAGGTCGGCAAAGTTGAGCGCGCGCAGAAGAGGAAAGTTTCCATTTCTCTTTAGCCGCTTGAGCTTGCTCTCCAAGTTCTTGAATGGGCCGCGTTCAGGCCAATGGAAGCTTCTGGATTGAGTTATGCTAGTGTCAAGATGAGCCAAGGCCTTGGGCGCGGTATCGCGGGCCTCTTGATCCATCAAAGTCTCCATGGGCTCTACTTAGGCGCTCGTCGGACATGTCTTGGTAGAAAATAAGTTCCGGTCCAACGAGTGATCCAAATGACCTCTTTCCACTTCGCCGCGGGTCACGACTCAAATATCTATCTTTCCATATAAGAATCATGACTTTTGGACGTCGGGAAGGCATGAACATGCGGTCGTACTTCGGATGCTCCGGTTTGGTCTTTAGCGAGAAATGTATTTTGGTGCTCTAGACTTGGGAACTTGGTGATTTGACTCTTTTTGCTCCATTTTGGACTCTTCTTTGCTATTTTGACCTGAATGATGCTCAAAACCAGAATATACAAGAAAACTACCTCTTGGGCTTAAAAACCACATTATTTGTATTAAAAACATAGTGAAAACCTTGATAAAAACATGAAAGATATGGGTATATCAACTCCCCCAGACTTAGCCTTTTGCTTGTCCCCAAGCAAACTAAGAGAGGAAGAGAGGTTTGAAAACGCAAGAACTCTCAAATCATTAGGAAATCCGGGTTGGCTTGGTTTTAGTAATCCACATGAAAGTAGTAGAGGCAAATATTTGAATTAAGAACAAGAGTACATACCATGAGTTTTGCGATTTTTCCAAGGCGGCCCACCTCTCTTTGGACAATCCAATTCACCCTCCTTGACTCCTTTCATTTCTAAAGGTGTGGTCTCAACTAGGGAGTATCGATCAGCCGGCTTTAGACTCTTACTCATCCCCTTGTTTTGGCACTTGTCTTTTTACTCCATGTTTCTCCTCTCTCTCTTCTCACTTCTTTGAGTTGACTCATCCCTTTTTTAGGGTAGCGAAGTATTTTTTTATTCAACTCCTTCTCTTTATTATAGAGGTTTTGCTTGGATCTTCCACAGACGCGAGTATTGATGGTGTTTGCCACCGAATCCCCGGTTGCTTGGATTCATAGGCCTTCCATAGACGCGAGTATTGATGGTGTTTGCCACCGAATCCCCGGTTACTTGGACCTTACGCTTTTTCTTTTAAATTGAAGGGGAGAGAGAGGGAAGCACGAACTCACTAAGACTTTTTCATTTGATGGAGAGGATGAGGAATCATGCCATTTGTATGCCAAGCCCCTAGCTGAGAAGATTAAGTTCATTAAGGGCGGAGTCAAGAGTGGATCCTTCTCAAGTCCTTGGAGGTGTGGGCGTTTTTGGTAGATCGATCAACTCATAGTGTCCCTGTGGTAAGATGTATTGCCAAGACTGCTTCAATGGTCACTTAAACGTTAGCACAACAATGGTTAGATCCAAGATAAGGTCATAATCCTTTGACAAAATTACTATGACTCAATGACAAAATGACTCAATAAAACGACTCAATGAAATTCAAAAAGAACAAACTTGTTAGTAATCCCCCCAGACTTAACTTGCACCGTCTCGGTGTAAGAAAAATCCAATTAAGAGAGGTAATGATAAATAAGAATGGAAAAGTTAGAGTTTGTAGAAAATTGTACCCAAATTTTTGGCCTTTGATGTGAAGATCGGTTGTGCGCTTGGTTGCTTCCAGGATGATCTGACTGGTGCATCATAGCTGTTGGATTTGGTTGGATGAATGTGACAATTCTCCCTTGGTATTCTGTTTTTCGCCTTTTTGGCCGAGACTGGTCCATTTTGGTCGACCGGATGGTGATGGTATGGACTACAGCTCGAACCGTGAAGATTTCCTCGACCTATCTTGAAATTTCGTCGACCAATATTGTATAATATGGCGACTGGTGAGGTATGGGGTCGTTTGAACGAGTGGTTTGAGATCTCCTTTGAAAAATTTTCAAATTGGCTCCGGGAACGTCTTCCTTCGGCTTCTCCAATTCTGCTCGTTCCAATCCGGATTTTCTTCTTTAGATGCGATGTTGATGCTTGATTGAGGTGATTTGAGCCGGTGGCCGCGGTAAATGCCGTGATTTGGATTGTCGGCCATTTTACTTGCTCGCGATCGGCCAAATTTCACTCCATCGGCCATCTCTTGAATTGTAAGGAATTCATTGTACTGAAATGAATTTCATCGACCAACCTTATGTTTTGTGGCTCCTTGTGAAGTTTGAGGCGATTTGAACGTGTGGATTCGGAGATCGTGTGGATTCGGTGTGCTTTCGTTGTGCGCGCCAATGGGTCGGGATGTGATTCCTTTGGCCATCTTGTATTCTTGTTCGATCGTCTCCTTCCTTTATTCTTCCTTGGTGTTTTTTGGACTCCAGAGGATTAGTTTCCACCGGTGTTCGCGCCTTCTTGACGTTTTGAGTTCGTCAACCATTCTATGCATCGCCGTCGGCCGTATTGAGCTTCTTCGTCTATCTCACGGAGCAGGCACTTTTTCTCGTCCTATCTTTTGGATTTGCCGACCAAAATGATGTTTTGAGGTCGCCTGTGAAGTTTGGTGGACTTCGGTCGTGCCGTTTGCGAGATGGTCGAGCATTGTCGCTTGGTTCGTCGATTCTGGCGGAGAGAGTGGTTGTGATGTTGATATCTCCTTATTTACTCGGGCCAATTGAGTTCTGCTTCGACCGAACTGTTTTTCTATCCCTCCTGGATTGAATTCTGGTTGGATTTCCCTCATCTCTCATGTTTGGCATGTAAATCCTCCTTTGGCCGGTTGTGGCTTCTTTGAGCGCCATGTTTGTATGATATTTTGAACCGGTCTTTCCTGTCATGTTTTATATGAAAAACACTTTGCCTTGTGCAATAGTGTTCCAATGGCCGGATTTTGTTGTGCCGCGGCCCTTCTTGGATTCTTTGCTTCTTGAAACATGGGTGGGACTTGGGTGGGACTCAAACTAGACTCAATACTTGACACTTAGACCAAAGATGGTTGATCCTTGGGCCGATTGGTGGCGATGTAGCTTTTCCAATGCATTTTTCATGTAAGCCTCCTTTTTGGTACTTTTTCCTAAAACACTTTTTATTTTATTTTTGTAAAATTTATTAAACTCTCAAAAATTTAAGAGTTATAAATAGAACAAATAAGTAGTTATAAAAATAAAAACAAAAATAAAAAGAGGAAGGGATAAGAAAATGTGGGTTGCCTCCCACAAGCGCTTGTTTTAAGTCTTTGTAGCTCGACTCCTTTGTGTTCTTAGTTAGGTAGGATTGGTGGCTCCAAGAACTTCCTGTTGCCTGATGATTCCAAGTGCATCTTGTCCTGTAGAACTTCCTTGATCAAGTAGCCATGCGACTCTCCTCTTACTTGTGAGCACTCTCCTCCACTTGTGTAGCGAAATCGCTTGGATGAGAAACCGGGAGGTGCAGCATCGTAGAAGGTGTCCTTGTCAACATTGGCTAGAGAGATTCTTCTATTAGGCCAATCCATGATCGCTCCAGCTGTGGCTAGGAATGATCTTCCAAGCAAAAGCTTTAAGTCCTCCGGATCCTTCATGGTTACTACATAGAAGTTGGCTGGAACTATGCAGCCTCCAAAATCAAGCTGAATGTCTTTAACCTCTCCAAGTGGTTCGGTCAATGATGAATCAGCTAGCTTTAAATCCATTCGAGATTTCACAATTGAATTGATCAATCCCAACTTCTTGGCTATCTCGGCCGGCATAAGGTTCACACTAGAACCGGAATCGCAAAGAGCATCATCAAAGTAGCTTCCATTGATAGAGAAATGTATAAGGAAGTAACCTGGGTCATGAAGCTTGTGTAGAAACCTAGGTTTAGGCATCCCCTTTCTTGCTTCCTCGTACATCTTTTCCATTTCAGCTAGACTCCAATCTTGTGTCCAAGCTAGGTCTTGCATGAATGGACTCTTGTTGCAAGCATTATCAAACGGCACACCATAAGGGAATCTCCTCGCCATAAAGTTGAAATCATCTATGATCTCTTCAAGTGATGATCTTGTCTTCCTCTTCTCCTTGGTGGGAGGCGGTTGTGAAGACCTTTGAGTAAGGGTTCTTCCTTTTGGTGCTATCTTCTCTCTTGTTCCAGTGGTTAGCCTTGTGGCTCTTTCTTGATCAGCTCTCTTTCTTCTTCATCCCAAATCACTCTTGGGTCGGTCTCTCTTATAGTAAAGACGGCGCGGCATGGTTGTGCTTAGGAACGGTCGTCTTTGCCTCGGTCAAGACCTTCTCTTCCAAGTTGGCTAAGCGAGTGGTTAAATCCTTGACTTCCTTGGAGACTCCATCTACTTTGTCTTCAAGCCCTCTAGCTCTTCTTTGAATATCTTGGCTCCTCTTGTCTAGAGAGATGTGTAAATCTCGGATTTGTGCCTTCACTTGTTTTTGCCCTTCCACCAATGTAAGCATCGTCGAGTAACATTGCCTCTCCTTTAGGTTCACTTCGGCTACCTCCCTCTTAGCTTGATGAGCTACTGCTGTTATTGAATTGAGACTCTTGGTGGTGCCATCGAGGTTGTTATCAAGACTTGTGATCTTCTCATCTAAGTGATTGTCCATCTCCTTGGTAGAAACTTTGGTAAAGTGTATCGCTCTCCTATTGTCTTCAATGGCCTCGCCTTGCTTCTTCAAATCTTCCTCCATGTCCAAGCATCTTGACTCTACTCTCTCTATTTGGGTAGAGAGTTCTCCAAGTCTTCCATCTAGTTCGTATCGCGTGAACTCTAGCTTTGTCTCAATGTCGCGGCTAGTTTTCTTTGGCTCTCCATGAAACCCTCAAGCACGGCATCGAAATGGCTATCTCTCCGCCTATTGAGAACATGGTCGTGGTGTGAATGCAACACTGGTCTAGGTGGTTGATGATAAACCGGAGGTCGGTTTTGATGATGATGGTAATGATGCTCGTCTCGGCTAGGTCCTTCAAACGTCGGATGAGCGCGGTTGGGAGGGAACGGATGTGGCACGATGCTTACGGCTGGGTCTTGGTAACTCCGGCCGTGGAGATCGTGTGGGATCAGTGTCCGGTTCCCAAAGTGGATGTTGGTGTTGTGATTCATCTCCAAGTACCTATAAACACAAGATTTAAAAGAAAAAGTTAGTATTCGAAAATACCAAGATCTAGACTTAGTTTTAAACAAGACTATGCAAGTGTTTATGATGCAATCCCCGGCAACGGCGCCAAAAACTTGATGCGGCATCTATGGGATGAGTACAAGTAATAATTCCCTAAGACAACTAGTGTTGCAAGTGCACAACATATAATTGTAGTATTTAGGGGTCGAACCACAAGGGATTGGATTTCACACATTACATAATCATAGAGTTTAAATGACTAAGCTAAATCAAAAGATGCAAGGGTTTGTGTTTGTTTAGAACACGCAAAAGAAATAACAATGCAATTCTATACAAGCAACATTATTGAACTATTGAAAACTCTTTTGAAAACATGAGCCAAGTCGATTGAAAAGTTTGTTAAAATCCGATTCTTTTGAACTCAAAACACTAAGGAAGGATTATTCCACTTTCGTGGTTCCAATCCCCTATGTCTCTTAAACCAATGGGCTCAGCTTTCGTTGGTCATTGTAGAGTGAGACATGCATTACATCCAAGTAATGATTGTTCACAAAACTCTTTAGGTCTACTTTCGTAGCCTAAAACGATTTGCCCATCAAATATATCCGGAGATATAACAAGCTTTTGGAGAGTATATCAACCTAAAATCAAGTCACTAGTTAGCTACTCTAGCAACAGGCATTAAGCATAAATAAAGATGGAGAACCATAGGGTTTCCCCTTTTAACAATCGATTTTCGATGGCCATTATATCACGTCCTCATTGGAAGGATCCATAATTCAACAATGAGTCTTAGATAGTAGATGAAGTCTCATGAATCCTTAGAGAGAGAGGCGGCGGAATATAGACTAAACCACGCCTCACCCTTAGGGAGAAATCTCTACTTCTAGACTATATAAATTGAAACATGCAAGCTATATACAAATGCAAAAGAAGAAAAGAAAGAAGAAGGAGACCACCTAAGTGGCTCCGAACTTTATTGAATAAGTGTTTCTTGTTATGCGGCTGGTGATTCTTATTACAAGAGGCTAAAAGCAAGTATATATAGGTAGAGAGCGGGTCTAGGTCGGCAAAGTTGAGCGCGCGCAGAAGAGGAAAGTTTCCATTTCTCTTTAGCCGCTTGAGCTTGCTCTCCAAGTTCTTGAATGGGCCGCGTTCAGGCCAATGGAAGCTTCTGGATTGAGTTATGCTAGTGTCAAGATGAGCCAAGGCCTTGGGCGCGGTATCGCGGGCCTCTTGATCCATCAAAGTCTCCATGGGCTCTACTTAGGCGCTCGTCGGACATGTCTTGGTAGAAAATAAGTTCCGGTCCAACGAGTGATCCAAATGACCTCTTTCCACTTCGCCGCGGGTCACGACTCAAATATCTATCTTTCCATATAAGAATCATGACTTTTGGACGTCGGGAAGGCATGAATATGCGGTCGTACTTCGGATGCTCCGGTTTGGTCTTTAGCGAGAAATGTAGATTTGGTGCTCTAGACTTGGGAACTTGGTGATTTGACTCTTTTTGCTCCATTTTGACTCTTCTTTGCTATTTTGACCTGAATGATGCTCAAAACCAGAATATACAAGAAAACTACCTCTTGGGCTTAAAAACCACATTATTTGTATTAAAAACATAGTGAAAACCTTGATAAAAACATGAAAGATATGGGTATATCACTAGCGTAGCGAAATTTATAAGGTAACCAAGCAATCTGGAGTTAACCTCACTCTTAATCAATCTTATAACTCTTGTCAAGGGGCTTGAGATACATATGAGCCGACTCCTCATCTAGGTCTAGTTGAGACATGTCAATAAAGAAACAGTCCATCCTCTCTCTTATCTGCAAAAGAAAGATCAAAAGCTTTAGAGCACAAGGAAAACAAGTAAGCATGAGGAATGAATACTTCTGTACCTTCATGTCTTATGGAATACCTTATAAACAAGGAGGAAGCTTAAAGCCAATCCATGTGTCCCACAAAGAAAAATCTTAAGGGAAGGAGGATCGATAGAAAAAATAAAATGATACCCTAGAAAAGTAGGGAAAAATCGATCCTTCAATGATAAGAGAGAAGGAGAGAGGTTTGGAACTGAATGTGCTAAAAAGACTGTCTTGGCAAACACTTGGGTGGGTAAGAATCAATGCTCTGTGATCAATACTCCCTTGATAAAGAACTCACGTTTTAAATTTATGCAAGAGGTTAGCAATAGAGAGTTTGGAATACTGGATGAGACTAGTTGAGTTGGTATTGCTCGCTAAGCTTGCGGAGTGTATGTGAAGCTAACCTTATGTTGCCTATGTTCTTAGTGGAATACAGAAAAGGAACCCTTCACAAGATTTTCAAAGAGGCAAGGGAGTTTCAACGTTTTCAAACCTCTTCCACAGATATAGATTCTATTTGCTTGGGGACAAGCAAAGATCTAAGTCTGTGGGAGTTGATATACCTCTATTTTACATGCTTTTTATATGGTTTTACTATGCTTTTCATAAGGTTTTTAATGGCTTTCTGATCTAAAAAGGTATTTTTTATGGATTTATAGTACTTAGAGCCTAAACAGGTCAAAAGATGCATTTTGGAGCCAAACACAGGATTTGGACTTCAAGACCACTCCAAGACGTAGCATCAGCTTAAGAAGGGCCTTAAGAACATTATACTCAATGGAATTCATCAAATCCAGTTCGAAGTGATGCATACGTGAGTTAGCTTTGCAACGAAACTGGAATCAATCAATTTGACCGAGTAGATTGGGAGATATCTCTATTTCCCTGAGACGTAAACCGAGGAGCTTTATCGGACTGCATCAGTACATCAGACGAGTAGCAGCGGCTTCGACCCTTAAACTCAATGGATTTCAATGAAACTCGATACCAAGATAGGCAGATGAGTCAGTGTTGCAATGCCGTTGGAAGTATGCAATTTGGATGCGCCGTTTAGGAGATATCACGTTTGTACTGAAGACTGGTTAACAGCCAGCCGAACGCACTCGGCCGGACAAGAAGGGAAGTGATTCGATCTTAGGTTGACTTGAGCCTCGAAAGTGTTGTATCATTCGCCGGATATATTCTTTGACAAGCTAGGTTTCTTAGACTGCGAAAGTTGATTTACTATAACCTAGTGAACTGTATCCGAACTTGCTCGATCTAATGCTTGATTTAATCACCTAGGGACATACCAAAAGTTTAGCGACTAGGTAGATTAACAAAGGAACTGAAGCCTCGACAGTGGAATGGGTTTACAATTGTGTTTGGTGTTCTAGACGGATCTTACATCCCATATCCCTAAATAGATATAAATCAATCATCAATCTTATCATATATGAATCTCTGCGAATTACCTATTGCCTAGCGTCTTTCCCACATTGAACTTACACCGCTTTCATATTGCTTTCTTTTAGTTTAGTTCTTTTGCATACCAAAAACCCCAATTTATCTTCTTGTCCTAGCTAAGTTAGACTTGCATAGCTTGTAGTGCACTTATCTGCTCCTTGTGTTCGATAACCCGTTAACATCTGACCTGTGCAGTTGCAGAATCAGGGATAGGAATAGGTAAAACCTAATCCCGCATCAATACCCTTTATGCTATAACGACTATAATGGTTAAAGGGAATTGTTGACTGTGATTGTGTTTGCATCTTACCACCTCATCATATACCACTGTTGCATTCCACCACATTTCATTTCATATCTTTCACACCCCACACACAAATCCTATCATCAATTTGGCGCCGTTGTCATTTTGGGTTGATTATTGTTGCATTTGAGTTTCAAATACACTTGGACGATCAAGCTATATCACCCCTGTTCTTTGTATTGCTGGGTTTTTGACTCTTTTTGCAGGTGTATGCTAACTCGATCGAGTCGGTCTACAGAAGACTTGGTCGAGCTAGACTCCATCACGGGTAAAAGAGAGTTCAGAGGACACAGAGGGTACAAGAGGAACCTGAGGTGCTTGTTGCTGATACAATGGATGTACCAGAGGGGAATGGAAACCCTTTGGGCAATGGACTCGGTCGAGCTAGGCAAACTCGACCGATTGGTCTAGGAGATGCTCCAAACCGCCATCAACAGAGACAAGGGATTGTTCCACCACCAGTGCAGAACCACAACTTTGAGATCAAGCTGGGAATGATCAACCTTGTTCAGAACAAGATGTTCCATGGATTGCCAAGTGAAGACCCCATTGACCACCTTGATGAGTTTGATAGGCTTTGCGATTTGACAAAGATCAATGGTGTCTCTGAAGATGCCATCAAGCTGAGACTCTTTCCTATGTCTCTAGCTGACAAAGCTCACCAATGGGAGAAGAGCTTGCCCCATGGCACAATCACCACTTGGGATGAATGCAAGAAGGCCTTTCTTGCTAAGTTTTTCTCCACCGGTCGCACAGCCAAGCTTAGGAGTGAGATATCGAGCTTCATACAGAGAAACAATGAGACATTTTCTGAGGCTTGGGAGAGGTTCAAGGGCTACACAAGTCAGTGCCCACATCATGGCTTCATCAGGGAGAGAGGAAGATGGTAACCTTCAGACAGCTAGAGATACTCTTTGGCTTCACTTATGGAGATGGAAACCTATGGGATATCAAGGAAGATGAACTCCAACGAGTATGGGCTACAATTGCTAAAGAGGGATACTCTTCTTCAAGGTCAAAGGCTGCCCAAATCGGGAACCCAGTGCTGAGATATGTCCACAAGGCTCTTGCCCACACCTTCTTGACATGGGAATCAAGCCCATCATCTCACGCACAAGGGATGGGAAGAAGATCAGAGGAGATAGGGCTCACGCAGGAAACCTCATGCCTTTCCTTGAGTAGCTGCTCTCCTACAAGATCACGGCCTACTGATGGCGGGTTTAGATTGCCTCAAATTTTCACAATTTATAAACCCAACTAATGAGCTGCAAGTGCACAGCCGTGTTGTAGTCGGGGTCGAACACGAGGAGGAAGTGTTCTCGCTTAACACCTTGTGAGATTGGTTTGTAGCTAGCTCGCAATATGAGGTGGTTTTGGACCTAGAATGAGAAAACAAAACAAAAGAAATGTGAGTGAGTTGTAAACAATTTAAAACAAGAGTTAGGCAAAGGACAATCATATGGAGCAATGATGAAAAGATAGTTGCATGGGATGTGTGTAGAGCCGTCTTGAACATGAATCACTAGTGTATGGTCTTTCCACTGTCGTGGCTCCAACCACTATGTTTAAAACAACCTAATATACTCAGCTTTCGTTGGCTATTAGAATTGCAAACATGCATTAAAGGTTCAAGATTCAATTGTTCACAATAAACCATAACTCAGCTTTCGTTGGCTATGATCTATTGCTCACCAAATACTAGTTTTGAGATCTAGATTCAGCACTGTCGTGGTTCTATTTCTCTAAGATCAGATTACTAGATGTACGGTAGAGTAATCATGCATTAAGCTCAAGTAAAGGTGAAGATCCATAAGATAAATCCCAATAAGTTGCAACACAATCAAATCATCACGGCCACCATAGATCTCCTCGGCCTAACTAAGAGATCTACTCGGCCATGATGCAAACAAGCAAGCAAAGCATGATTGTAAACATTATGCAAGTATTAAAAGAGATAAAGGGATGAAGAAAGCTTCTCTATTGATGAACAAAGTCGGATTCTCCCTTGAAAACTCTTAAGATCAAGTTTATAGAAATGGAAACAATGAAAAAGAAAGAACAAGAGTTGAGCGGCGCCTCCTTCTTCTTGGACGATCTCCTAGGGCTTCTCTTCTCTCTCTCTCTTCTCACACGTAACTCTTTGTAATTTTGGACTGGACTCGGATTCTCTCTCTTCTTCAGCGGCTAAAAACATGTATATATGGGCGAAGTCGCGTAGGGTTTTCTTCATGCCGGAAAAGGAAAGTTTCCCATGAGCGAGCCTTCTTCTCCACGTCGTGTATGGGCCGACATTGTACCAAGGAAAGCTCCAAACATTAGCCAGGCCTCTTCTCTATTCGATCAAGGCCTTTGGCGCTGCTGCTCGGGCCATTAGACACTCCAAATCCTCCATGGGCTTCGTTTACTCGCTTACCGGACATGTCTCGGTAGAAAATAAGTCTAGGCCTCATAGTTGATCCAAATGGCTTCATTCCACTTCGACGTGATGCATGACTCAAGTATCTATCTTTCCATATCAAGATCGTAACTTTTGGACGTCGGGAACTCCTCCGCGCGCGGCCAAACTTCCGAAGCTTCGTTCTGCGCGCAGCGAGAACTAACACTTGGAGATAAAATGATCTTCTTGACTTGGAAACTTGCATGGATCTTGATTTAGGGCTCTTTTACTCCTTTTTGCATCCTTTTTGATTATTTCACCTACAAAGACTTCAAATCCCACAAATACAAGAAAACTACCTCTAAAGGCAAAGAATCTTGCAAAAACCGTTTGAAAACATAGTAATTATATAGTAAAATCATGTAAAATATGGTGATATCACCTACAACACTCGGTTTCAAACGGGAAGGAAGCTTAGTGTTGGAGGAGTCATCACACCAATCCTCTGTGCATCTGCGGTCCAATTGGACAAGAGAAGGTCTACTCCAGCAGGATGGATGGATATTAAGTTTTGCAAGACCAACCTCCTCATTGAACACAAGGAGTTGGATGGGAGGTTCCAATTCAAGTTCACACATCCATTGGTTGGTCCTTCCAAGCTTGAGGTTGGTTATAGGTTTGCTCTATTTCTCCTTCCTGTCAAATGGTTAACTCCTTGCAAAACACTTGAAATCATGATTAGATGGTTTCTCAGATTGTGATCCTCAAGTGACCAACTTGAAGTTCACAATCCAAGAGATTAAAGCACAAACTATAAATTCTTATTTGGTCTTGGTTAATGATCCAAATTTCAAACTATAGTTCAATCTCTTGTAATTTCAGTGAGCAAAATGAGTTTTGACAAGTGATTATGTATTCTTTCCAATCATCAAAAGTAAATCAAGTTAAACCATGAATATATTTGATAAAGTGCAATGGTTTAAACGATTTTTCAAGTGAAGATCAAGAGTGATTAGAAATGAATACTAGGTGAGAATTTACTTACCTTTTGGAAGAGAAACGCCTTGTACAAGGGTGGGCTCATTGGGTGGGACACTTCCATTGTTTGGTCTCCTTTGGGTCTTCATCCTAAGAAAATATTTTTGTATTTTTGTTTGATTTTTGAAAAACTCCTGCAAAATAGAAATAATAGTTAAAAACCATATGGGTTGCCTCCCATAAAGCGCTTTTGTTTTAAGTCATTTAGCTTGACTCCTTTTCTTTCTTTCAATCGTGGTGAAGAGTGGCTGAAGGGCAAAGGATCCCTTTAGCTTCTCCATTCTCCGGTGTAGTGGATTCTTGTGGTGGTGTTGTCGCGCCATAGTCATCTCTCACATCATCTTTGAAAACCAATGCCTTGGGGAAAAGCTTCATAGTTCTCTCAAGCTTCTCTTCAATGGATTGGTCACCTTTAAGCTCCGAATCTTTTGGTGTAAAGATTCTTATCTTGTGAAAGAGATTAGGTGCACCATTAGTCTCCTCTTCAGCTCCATATTCATCAAAGGTTGGAAGTAAGATGGAGTTGATATCTTTGAAGACATTTTCATGCCTCGGCTCCAATGTTTTCTTCTTCTCCTTTGGTTTTGGGTAGCGCTCACTCTCTCTTCTTTCTCCATGAATCACGGCTTCTTTCTTAGGCTTGAGAGTGGCTTCTTCTGGTGGTAGCTTGGTCGCACTTGGCACTGACCTGAAATTTACACTTGGGAAAAAGATATCTTGCCGGATGTGGCCAAAAGATAGATGATTCCCAAAGTAGTTTAGGACCGCTCCAGCTGTAGCAAGGAATGGGGTTCCAAGGATCAGTTGATTCCTCTTTGAGCCTTCCCAAATCATGACTTGATCACGAGCGTATGAGCATACTCCAACGATGGAACAAGGTCATCAACAAGTTCAAGAAGAAGTTCCAGAAGATGGGTGACCAAATCCGAGCGATGCAGGACAAGCTGAGCTGCACCTACCTCAGGAGGAGTTAGGAGAAGCATGGCATCAGTCGACCCGCAGCCGATCGATCTATCCGAGGATGAGCTCGATCTCATCCCCACCAGCTCTCGCCGACACACTACCAAACAGCCGCGCTACTCTTCCTACGAGCCGCGCGAGAGGAAGCGACGCACACACTTGCACCAGACAGCCGGACAGTCAGAGACACGTGCAGACGCTGACCGCCTATTCTGGCGATCTTTCTCTGTACCACGCCCGACCCACGACGATTATCCGGCGATGCCATCGAGTGCTGCAGATGACGACTACGCGCCACACACCACCGCGCCCAACTACACAGAGATGCACTCGAGTCCCACTGAGCACCACGTCCCGCACACGGCCGAACCAGCTGGCTCCTCCACAATTCCACCATACACTCGGGAGTCAATGCATGAAGCGACCGACTCTCTTTTCCAGTTCCCTTACTGAAGGTCCATTCGCACTCTATCTCATTCTACAATCCACTTTTAGTTTATCTTTTTCTTTCTTGAAATCTTCTTTACTAGACTTTTATTACACAAGGGACTGTGTAATTCAAGTTTGGGGGGGAGGTTCAGGATGTATTTAACTTCATTTTCTTTGTTTCTGTATTATATCTTTGCATGCATTCATCATAAAAAAAAAAAAAAAAAAAAAAAAAAAAAAAAAAAAAACATTTAGATTGCATTGCATCATTAGATCGAGTCTAGGCATTCATGTAGAACTGTTGCACTTGCATAGGGGTCTGTGATGATTAAAACCTTGTAAGCATGCTAATGAAATGGAAAATTTCAGTGCCCTTGTTGTTAGTCCTTTGAGTGCATAACCGATTGAGTCTGAGAGCATATTGTGAATTGAAGTCATTCTCCATCTATCTGAACTTAATTGATTGATAATTATCTTGTTATGCAACGAGATCGAGCTCATGGTCACTGTATACATATTTGGATTTGCTTTTATCTATTTGCCATTCTTGTTAATCCAGGTAGCTGATTCCCACTTTTGGAACAGTATCCACGCCCTCTAGCCAACCTTTCTTTTCAAGCCCTGATTATTTACTGAGTGGTAGGTCTTTTTAAGGTTTGAGCTTGGAAGAAAGTGTTAGGATTATGACCGACAAGAGAGAAATCCCGTATAGATCTGGCTCACGCTTTCTGAGTCAGTTAGTGATGTACTTGCATTTTACATAGTTTTAGCACATCTTTTATGCATCTTTTGCATAGTTTTAGCTTCCATTTGCATCATATCTTGTTCCTTTTCTCTTCTTATGCATTCATGTTAGTTTTAGGTTGCATTTGCATACATATGCATGTTTGGTCCTTTGAAATAGGTCTTTTGGAGCATTCTGGAGCATATGGGACACAAGGAGCATGGAGGGACTTGGCACATGGAAGCAGCTCAACTGGATACGCAAAGGAAGAAGGGAGAAGCCATCTTGAAGACCAGCTCGACCGTCCACTCGACCAACCGGTCGAGTTCCTCAACTCGACCGGCCAAGCTTCAACTCGATCGAGCTGGAAGTCAAAGTCAAACCCGAAAAATGTTGCTTCCCCCTTGACTTTCCTTTGACCCTAAACCTAATCCTCTTGTATTTAAAGGCTCTAAGCCACGAAAAAACCACCAAGCTTTAGATTATTTTGTTTTAGTTTCTTTTAATTTATTGTCTTTTACTTTTTAGAGATCTAATCCCATCTTTGTGTTCTTGAAGCTCTTGCTTCTTGAATCTTAGATCCTGGATAATCTCTTTGTATTTGCACTTGCTTATTTCAATAAAAGTTGTTTAATTTCATCTCCTCTTTCTTATGATGTCTCTTTTATTGCATTTGCTTGTGTTTACATTCATGTGTAGTGAGTAGTTACCCATTGGGGTTTGAGATGGGATAGATTAGAGGTTTCATATGCTTAATCCTTCTAGCTTATGGTCTTAATCTAGATTCTCTCTCTTTTGGATAGATCTTAAGGCTACATGACCACTACCCCTGGCTTGTAAGTCCTTAGGCGACTCCCCACACGAAAGTGATGGCATTCGCTGGAAAAGATCCACTAAGAGCTCCAATATCTCTTGCTCTAGACAATAGAGGTCTAAGGGGTTGGATGGATTAGTTTGGGCAATGATCCTATAGCCTCCAAGGTTTGATTCTCACTGGCTAACCCCCTGTTTCTGAGATCATTCCTTGGTTGATAGCCTCCACCTTGGGAAAGGGTTGGCTAGGCATTGAGAAGCCCAATATCAAGAGAAGCCTTGATACAAGGAGTTTTAAGAGCTAGATTGATTAAGTGTAGATTCCTTTGATTGCAAAACCCTGTCTTGAACCCTAATTCTCTCTTTATCTTGTTAAAGTCGTCACCTTTAGCTTTGTTTGTCTCAACTCGTCCCTAAACTCGATCGAGCTGGTACTTTGCTCTACTCGACTCGAGCTCTTGGTCGAGCTGACACTTCACTGCTTTGTTTACTTTTATTGCACTGCTTTTCATTATTTTTAGGTTGTTAGTGTTACTTCAAATCTTAACTGCTTGCTTGACTTTCTGGTTGTTTCATATTCTCATAGAGTGACAAGTTTCCCATTTTGGATTGATAACCCTTTGTACTACATCAACTATGATGGTTAAAGGGAATTGTTGACTGTGTTTGTGTTTGCATCTTACCACTCATCATATACCACTGATTGCATTCCACTCATCTCATTTCATTCTTTTCACATCCACACACAAATCCTATCATCAATTTGGCGCCGTTGCCGATTTGGGAATATTTTTGTTGCATTTGAGTTTCAAACACACTTGGACGATCAAGCTATACCACCCCTGTTCTATTGTACTGCTGGGTTTTTGTCTCTTTTTGCAGGTGTATGCGAACTCGATCGAGTCGGTCTACTGAAGACTTGGTCGAGCTAGACATTACAACGGGTAGAAAGAGGGTTCAGAGGTCACAGAGGGTACAAGAGGAACCTGAGGTGCTTGTTGCTGATACAATGGATGTACCAGAGGGGAATGGAAACCCTTTGGGAATGGACTCGGTCGAGCTAGGCAAACTCGACCGATTGGTCAAGGAGATGCTCCAAACCGCCACCAACAGAGACAAGGGATTGTTCCACCACCAGTGCAGAACCACAACTTTGAGATCAAGCTGGGAATGATCAACCTTGTCCAGAACAAGATGTTCCATGGATTGCCAAGTGAAGACCCCATTGACCACCTTGATGAGTTTGATAGGCTTTGTGATTTGACAAAGATCAATGGTGTCTCTGAAGATGCCATCAAGCTGAGACTCTTTCCTATGTCTCTAGCTGACAAAGCTCACCAATGGGAGAAGAGCTTGCCCCATGGCACAATCACCACTTGGGATGAATGCAAGAAGGCCTTTCTTGCTAAGTTTTTCTCCACCGGTCGCACAGCCAAGCTTAGAGGAGAGATATCCAGCTTCATCCAGCGAAACAATGAGACATTCGCAGAGGCTTGGGAGAGGTTCAAAGGCTACACAAGTCAGTGCCCACACCATGGATTCAACAATGAATCACTACTCTCCACTCTTTATAGAGGATGCTTGCCTAGGTATAGGGAGATGCTAGACACAGCTAGCAATGGGAACTTCCTCAACCAGGATGTAGATGATGGCTGGCAACTTGTGGAGAACATAGCTAACTCAAATGGAAGCTATGGAGAAGAGTATGATCGCACCAACCGGAGCTCGACCCACCACTCGATCGAGTCAGACGAAAAGTTGAGAAAAGATGTTAAGGCATTGAATGAGAAGTTGGATAAGCTGATCCTAGCTCAGTCCACAATGAAGAAAGTCAACTTTGTGTCTGCTGAGGAGATGGAACCAGTCCAAGAAGGGGAGGATACACAATTTGCTGAGGTGTGCTACATGAGCAATGGGCAAGGAGGTTACAACAAAGGATACTATAACTACAAGTCCAACCCTGCCATGTCATACCGCAACACTGATGTTGCTAACCCTCAGGACCAAGTCTATCCTCAACAACAAGCAGCTCGATCGAGTCAGGTGCCACAACATGGGTATGGTCAAAAGAACAATTACCAAGGACCACAAGGCACTTTCCCTGGACAACAAATGAATATCCCACCAGGCTTCCCCCACCAACCGCCCCAGCCTGCACCTTCACAAGAGAATGAGCTCAAAGCAATGCTAAAGCAACTACTTCAAGGGCAAGCTGATGGGGTAGTGGACACAAGCAAGAAGCTAGCTGAAATAAACTCTAAGATCGAGAACCTCAACACAAGGGTTTACTCTCTGGAGAATCATGCTTCTTCTGTTGCTGCTGCTACAAAGCAAGGACAACTACCTGGTAAAGCTATTCAGAACCCCAAGGAACAGTGCAAGGTCATCTTCACTCAAGAAGGACTTGTTGAAGAAGAGGATCAAGAAAGGGTCATTGAAGATTTTTGTTTACTGCTGAATGATGAAGAGATTGTTGCTGCTGAGGCTCCTGGAGTCCAGATTGATCAACCAGAAGTGCATGCACCTACTGTGGCCATTCACACTTCACCAGTTGAGCTCGCACGACAAGCTCGATCGGCAGCTCGATCGAGTCCAACTCTAGCTCGATCGAGTCCGACCTCTTCTGTCCGACAGCCTGTTTTGCTTGATCCTTATCAACCGGTTGCCGCTTCCTCGTCTCGCCTACTTAGTCAAGGTCACAAGGAAGTGATTCACAAGTTCAGAAGAGATCTCAGTGGGATTGGAATTGAGTTGCCTCTATGGATAGCATGAGTGAGGCATTTGATCAAATGCAAATGGTCAAGGATGTTCTAGCCAACAGTGATAAAGTTTCAGAGGTCCTACAAGAGTCTACTCATCAGTTCAACCTGCTTACTTCACCCACCTTCCTACCAAAGGTCAAGGATCAAGGGAAATTCACTCTCCCTTGCACACTTGGGCATCTTGAGATTGACAATGCCTTAGTGGATTCTGGAGCAAGCATCAATCTGATCTCTCTCTCCATGGCAGAGAAGCTAGGCATAGCTGGAGCCTTGCAGCGCCCTACTACTTCAATCATCTTTGGAGATGCAACTACTAAGTCTCCTCTTGGAGTGTTCAAGAACTATCACTTGAAAATTGGAGAATGCATCATCCAAACTGATCTCACTGTGATGGAAATGGAAGAAGAGAAGGATTTGCCTTTGTTATTGGGAACCCCTTTCCTTAGTACAGTTGGCGCTTCAATTGACTTTCACAAGCAAGAAGTGATCCTTCACAAGGTGAATAGTTTGGTGTCATATCGCTTGCAGCCTAGAGGTTCAGACTTTTGTGCCACAATTGACAGTACCAATCTCAGTTCTAAGAGTCATGGAGCTACAAAGGTTGTGAAGGAAAGGGTTGACAAGGAACCAAGAGTTGGGAAGGATAAGGATGAGAGAGGACCAAGGATTGAGAAGCCACGTCTTGAGAGGGCTAGAGTTGAGAAACCACGATCTGATAGGCCAAGAGCTGAGCGACTTGTTCAAGCCCCTTGTGTGCTTGATGAAGAGAGCCTTCAAGCTTTGTTTGATGAGCCACTAGGAAGGGCTCTACAAGAAGGGGAGGATGCAGCCTCTAAGGCAAGACCAGGAGATAAAAGAAAGGATCCACCAGCTCAGGCCCCTTCAGTCAAGCCATCTCAGCTCACAATGACTTTGTTCCCCACCAAGTTTGAAAATGGGAAGATTGAGTACAAGATAAGGTACAAGGGGAGATCAAGGCCATTCTCTAGAGCCAAGGCCTTGGTGACTTCAGAACAGTCCAGGGACCCAACCAAGCTAAAGGAGCTTCTGTCTCAAGTCCTCACTATCACCCTTGATGGTGGGACTAGCTCAACCAATGCCTAAGAAGGTAAAGGTCAAGCTATGGGACCTTAAACAAGCTCACTTGGGAGGAAGTCCCATGTTTATCCTTGTACATACTCTATTTATGCAATTTCTATCTATCTTTATGTTTTTAACCTTTCAATAAGTTAAGTTTAGGTGTCAAGGAGCCAGCTCGACCGACAGCTCGATCGAGCTAGAAACCAGGGCAACTCGATCGAGTTCCACAACTCGACCGAGGTAAGTTTTTGAATTTCAAATTCATAACCGTTTTCTTGGTCAAGGGAGTGGGTCCCACAAGCTGATTTTGGTCCCCCACTACCCTAATTGATCAGAAATCCCTAGTTTCTTGTTCCCTCTTTATTTCATCTTTTAATCTCAACCACACATCTCAAACACTCCTCTTCCCCATAACTCGATCGAATCCACCTTCTCTCTCTCCCACATCTTAAAATTTCTGAAACTCATCTCTCTCTCTTCACCACAAGAAAAATCGATTTCCTTTCTCTCTTAAGTTTTTGCGATTTCTTTGTTCTTCATCTTGTTTTGCTTAGTTCTTGTTTACTGCTCTTCAATTCCATCATTCAAGCAAGGTATGAACCCTAAAACCCTTGATTCTTCCATCTCGATTCCTATTGCTTGTTTCCTCTTGATTTTTGATTGCATGTGTCCCTTGTGGACTTGTTCTTGAGTAATTGCTTTCTTTATGCTTCCTTTGTATAATCTTGTGAATTTGCTTCACCTCACCTCTGTTTTGCCATTAAACTTGTTGCATGTGCTTGAAATTGAATTTGAGTTTGGTATGGTTATGCTATGTTTTCACTAGAATTGCTTATTGTTCCATTTACTAGTTGTTCTTGGTTCAATTTGATTGATTAGCATCCTTTCCAGCTCTTAATACTTGAATTAGGTTCGGTTATACTCTGTTTTCACCCAACTCGATCGAGTTTGTCACTCGAGTTTTTTGACTCGATCGAGCTGAGTGTCGAGTTGACCAAACCGATCATTACAACTCTAATTCTTTGAGTTTTTGATGCATTTCAGGAACCCAACTTCAAGAAGCAACGTTAAGATGTTGAGAGGTGAAGGAAGCAAGCAGCATTCACAAAGAAGGAGATAACAAGAGGAGCAAGGAGGATACTCAAAGACAAACCAAGGAGGATGAGGAGGTCTGAGAGGAGATTGAGGGAAGAGGAGAACCAAAGAAGGAATGATCCTATCAGCAGTGAGAGCGAAGAGGAGAGTTTGAAATTGGAGTGAACATCCCAATGAGGAGAATGATGACTCCCAAGTGAAGAAGAGGGTGAAGAGGTCAATCAAGAGATTGAGGAGAGTGAGCATGAGAGCAATGAGAATGTGCCCATGGAAGAGAGGAGTCAGAGGAAGAAGAGGATGAGCTCCCCATGTACCAAGAGCACTAATGCTCTCTTCTCCATGGACTTTGTGGAGACCAAGTACCCACATGATGACACATGAAGGCCCTTGGAATCTTTGAGGATGTGGAGTTGGTCCTCAAGAACATGCACTTGGCCAAGTTCTTCTCTACCACATGGAATCTACAAGGAGCTCACTTGTGAGTTCTTAGCTTCAATGAGGTCCACATGTATGAGAGAAGATAGAGCTGATTTGGACCAAGGATTGGGATGGATCACGTTCTTGGCTAAGGGAGAGAAGAGAATGGTGACCTTTAGGCAGTTGGAGATCTTGTTTGGGTTCAACTATGGAGAGGGAACCAAGTGGAACTTCAAGGAAAAGGAACTCCAAAGGGTTTGGGCTACAATCGCTGATGGAGTGTACTCTTCCTCAAGGTCCAAGGCAGCTCAGATCAGGAGCCCAGTGTTGAGATATGTGCACAAGGCACTTGCCAACACCTTCTTTGCAAGGAAGGCACGGGACAATCAATGAGGGGAACTCAAGTTTCTTGACATGGGAATCAAGCCCTTCATCTCACGCACAAGCGATGGCAAGAGGATCAGGGGAGATAGATCTGCAGGGAACTTCATGCCTTCCTTGACCAGCTCCTACCTACAAGATCACAGCTTACAACACTAGGCACCAAAGAGGGAAGCTTAGTGTTGGAGGGCTCATCACACCTATCTTGTGTGCTGCTGGAGTAAACCCAACTGACAAGAGAGCTACTGAACCAGGTTGGATGGACATCAAGTTTTGCAAGACCAACCTCTCATTGAGCACAAGGAGTTGGATGGGAGGTTCCAATTCAAGTTCACACATCCATTGGCTGGACCCTCCAAGCTTCTCCTGCCCAACCCAGAGCTCACCACAGTCTAAGGGGTGAGAACATTGACTTCAGACCCCCTGTGTACACATTAGTTGGGCATGAGGATGATGCGAGAATCGAGCTGAGCCTCGAGCTGAGGATCGAGCTGAGGATCGAGCTGAAGACAACGCCAGGAGAGTGCGGATTTGGGTGAGCCTGAGTGCTATTACTTTGAGGAGTATGAGGCTCCAAGGATGAACCCCTCTGTTGTGGCTGCCACAAGAGGATTGGACTTCTCCAAAAGTTCAACAAATGGCAAGGGAAAGCCATTGAGAAGATGCAAAAGTCCATGGACAAGATGGTGAGCAAGATCAAAAGTTTGGAGAAGAAGGTTTCTGGTTCTTCAAGCAAGAAGAAGAAGTCCAAGGCCCCCACTTTCCCTAGGAGTAGATCACTCCTCACCACCCAAGGAGGCTCCCTGCCCAAGAGCCTCACAGAGCCTCTTCTTTCGAGCCAAGGGAAGGAGAAGACAACACGCAGAGAAGGAGGAAGACTTCCAAGGCCAGACGCTCCAGCTCGACCACCGGACTCGATCGAGTCCAAACAGAGGAAACTCAACTCGATCGAGCTGAGGGTCGAGTTGACCTGGAGGAGCCCCAGTTTGAGAATCCGGGATTCGAGTACGATCCCAGTACCAGGACTTCCCCAGTAGATGGACCCCTATACAGCTTCGAGCGAGCCAAGCTCCACCAAGGCCAAGGAAGCCACACCCACTTTGAAGATGAAGAAGAGGAGGAAGAGGAGCCGCAAGCTCGATCGAGTGAGCCAAGAGCAACCCAGTTGCATGGAGTGCTCCTGATGGCCGTCTCCCATCTCCAGACCACGACCTAGCCTCCCAGTTCTTTGGGGGCACTGAGGTATCCAAACACCAACCCTTGTATATACCATTTCATATTTTCTTGCATTTGTTCTTGTTTTTTCTTGGTTTTGCCCTCTTGAATCTTTCACTAAATTTTTCTCACACAAGGGACTGTGTGATTTAAGTTTGGGGGAGGGTTCAAGAGATGATTTAACCTTGTTTTCTTTGTTCTTAGTTTTTCATTTATCTTTTGCATAGAAAAACCAAAAAAATCATAAAATTTTCAAAAAATCCAAAAATATTTTCATCTTTTTGCATTCATATTTGTTAGACTTGTTTAGGATTGCATTTTTCACTTGCATTGTTGATTTGACTTTGAAAACTTGTCCATCTTTTGCGATTTCTTGAGTGCCCTGTTTTTAGATTCTTTTGTGCATTAGGGTGAGATTGATTGAGCAGCAAGAACCATGTTTATCTTGATCATATCACTGCATGCACATCTCATTCAACCATTGCTGTGATTTGATGCATTTCCCTATCTATTTGAACCATAACTTGATCTTTAATTACCAATGCTTGCATTTGATTTCAACTCATGGCTACCACATACATATCTGGACATTCTTTACCATTTTCATATCCCTTTGCTTGTCCAGATAGCTGATCTCTATCTTTGAGACAGTTACCACACCTTAAACCTAAGCCTTTTCATTTCAAACCCCTTATTATCTCTTGTGCGAATGTGAGAACCTTTCTTGGCTTTGCTTAGCATAAGGTGTTGTGTTTAAACCGGCAGGGGCAGTAGTTCTAGTTGTCTAGTTCTCTTGGGATTGTTTTCAGGCTAAGTTTGGGGGTGCCAACTCGAGCTCGATCGAGTTGGGTGTAAAAACCAGAAAAGTGGTAAAAATTGGGAAAAACCCAAAGGAAAAAGAGTTTGGTTAAGTCCAGGGAGTTGGCAGTGTTTAAAAAGGGTCTAGTAAAGGTTTGGGAAGTTAAAAAAGGAAAGTAAAAAGGGTTCTAAGTAGAATGAAAAGAAGGCAAAGCCTCAAGTGTCAAAAAGGAAAGAAAAGTTCCCTAAGTGTTTAGAAAATCCCAAACCGCTAGATGTTACCTCAAGAAGCCTCTCCCTAGGAAGTTCTTAAAAGAAAAGTGAGCAAAGCTCCTCAGTTTCAAAGGCGAAATGCCAAAAAGGGTAGTTAGGATTTTGTTCTAAAAAGCTCTAAGTGTTGAACTCGATCGAGTTAGGATTAGGCGGCTCGAGCTGCTGTTCTTGCATCATCTTTGGTTCTAACACTTAGCCTTCTGCCAAAGCAAAGCCACTTTCTTGAGAGATCCCTGTTACTAAACCACCATACAAAAGAGACCCTCTTTGTCTCTTAACCCATAAACCCTTGAAACCAAATGAGTTGATTGATCTTGCATGTTTTTGGTTCACTGTTTTTGCTTAATGAATGTTAAAGGGATTTGCTGATTTGAATGCATTGTTTGAGTGACTGTGAAGTGGGATTGATGTTGATAAGCATGGTTAAATCTTAATGAATATCTCTCACCTTGTTGCATTCTAGAATCTCTAAGTTGGACATTTAGCAAATCGCTTTTGAGGACATGTTTTTAAGTGTTGAATCAGCTATTTTCAAACCTCATCTCTTTCTTGTTCTATTTGTTTGCTTGAGGGCAAGCAAAGTTCAAGTTTGGGGGTGTTGATGTACTTGCATTTTACATAGTTTTAGCACATCTTTTATGCATCTTTTGCATAGTTTTAGCTTCCATTTGCATCATATCTTGTTCCTTTTCTCTTCTTATGCATTCATGTTAGTTTTAGGTTGCATTTGCATACATATGCATGTTTGGTCCTTTGAAATAGGTCTTTTGGAGCATTCTGGAGCATATGGGACAAGGAGCATGGAGGGACTTGGCACATGGAAGCAGCTCAACTGGATACGCAAAGGAAGAAGGGAGAAGCCATCTTGAAGACCAGCTCGACCGTCCTACTCGACCAACCGGTCGAGTTCCTCAACTCGACCGGCCAAGCTTCAACTCGATCGAGCTGGAAGTCAAAGTCAAACCCGAAAAATGTTGCTTCCCCCTTGACTTTCCTTTGACCCTAAACCTCTCTTGTATTTAAAGGCTCTAAGCCACGAAAAAACCACCAAGCTTTAGATTATTTTGTTTTAGTTTCTTTTAATTTATTGTCTTTACTTTTTAGAGATCTAATCCCATCTTTGTGTTCTTGAAGCTCTTGCTTCTTGAATCCTAGATCCTGGATAATCTCTTTGTATTTGCACTTGCTTATTTCAATAAAAGTTGTTTAATTTCATCTCCTCTTTCTTATGATGTCTCTTTTATTGCATTTGCTTGTGTTTACATTCATGTGTAGTGAGTAGTTACCCATTAGGGTTTGAGATGGGATAGATTAGAGGTTTCATATGCTTAATCCTTCTAGCTTATGGTCTTAATCTAGATTCTCTCTCTTTTGGATAGATCTTAAGGCTACATGACCACTACCCCTGGCTTGTAAGTCCTTAGGCGATTCCCCACACGAAGTGATGGCATTCGCTGGAAAAGATCCACTAAGAGCTCCAATATCTCTTGCTCTAGACAATAGAGGTCTAAGGGGTTGGATGGATTAGTTTGGGCAATGATCCTATGGCCTCCAAGGTTTGATTCTCACTGGCTAACCCCCTGTTTCTGAGATCATTCCTTGGTTGATAGCCTCCACCTTGGGAAAGGGTTGGCTAGGCATTGAGAAGCCCAATATCAAGAGAAGCCTTGATACAAGGAGTTTTAAGAGCTAGATTGATTAAGTGTAGATTCCTTTGATTGCAAAACCCTGTCTTGAACCCTAATTCTCTCTTTATCTTGTTAAAGTCGTCACCTTTAGCTTTGTTTGTCTCAACTCGACCCTAAACTCGATCGAGCTGGTACTTTGCTCTGACTCGACTCGAGTCTTGGTCGAGCTGTACTTCACTGCTTTGTTTACTTTTATTGCACTGCTTTTCATTTTTTTAGGTTGTTAGTGTTACTTCAAATCTATACTGCTTGCTTGACTTTCTGGTTGTTTCATATTCTCATAGAGTGACAAGTTTCCCATTTTGGATTGATAACCCTTTGTACTACATGACTATGATGGTTAAAGGGAATTGTTGACTGTGTTTGTGTTTGCATCTTACCACTCATCATATACCACTGATTGCATTCCACTCATCTCATTTCATTCTTTTCACATCCACACACAAATCCTATCATCAATTTGGCGCCGTTGCCGATA